TTTAGTTACGGATTCCCTCAAGCCTTCAACTACGGCGGACAAGCAGGAACTGGTGGTCACGAATTAGTGCATGGCTTCGATGATCAAGGCACTTGGATCTGCTTATTAGGGTGCAAAATCAAAAAATTTCGAATTGTAGGCTTGCAATTCGGACCAAACGGCAGTCTTAGCGATTGTAATTGGATCGAATGCGGTTGGATGGATCCTGAAACCAAAGACAGCTTCAGGGATATGGCACAATGTGTTGTCACGCAGTACAGGTGACGTTTTAGCTGTAGAAACTCAGAAACCTGTCCACGATTGTGGACGCATAGCCCAGTTAATTTTCACTAATCCTAAGTGATATTTTAGTACACAATGCTGCCCACAGAAGACCGGAAATGTTAAATGTGCCAATGGTGTAAGCACCCAAGGGGAAAACATTGCAGATATTGGAGGTTTCCTTTTTGAATTAGCTAAAAAAAATCGCTATTAAAGACATTGATTTTTGTAGGTGAACTAGCAGCATATTTTGCTTATCGAGAGTACGTGGCTGAGCTAGGAAGCGAGGAAAAGAGGTTCTTAAATTTTCTTACAACTGAGGATTTTCTCCCACAAGTTTTTTTTCGCATTTCAAGATTACCTTCACTAGAACAATACACACCAAATCAATTGTTCTGGATGGGATATGGTTATTCATGGTGCATGAGCATCACACCGAGCAGGCTTACCAAACAGGTAAATGGGTTATGTTCTCTTTTATGTGTTTTTGTTAAATCTACTCAATTTTAGCTGTTAACTGATGTTCACTCTCCGAGCATATGTCGTGTTAACAATGTCCTCCAAAATATTCCGGAATTCGCGAAAGATTTTGGCTGCTCTATCGGTCAGAACATGTATCCACCACCGGAGCAACGATGTGCCGTTTGGATTGAGGAATAAGGAATTTATCAGATCTCATAATAGTAGTAGTTGTTTGTGTTCAGTCACTTCCTCCATGCCTTCTTTCTCGAAAACGTCAATATACGCAATCAGATTTATTCATCGATAATTTCATTTCATAGAGTTTCGGGGAATAAATAAATTATTTTAACGTATTTTGCAGTTTATGTTGCGTACTTTGCATGAGTCAAACTACTGCGTTTTTCTTACGATGGCTCACTTCTAAGGAGATCAATAAAGAAATAATG